TCACAGCTTCTTCTTTGAGCAGTCAGACTGTAAATGAAGCCAGTGTTTAACTTCCTGTGACCATCAAACAAAGCAAGATAATTCTCAAAATGCTGACATGAGGGAAAGCTTATCTTAGGACAATGTAGTTTTATTATTTCAGAGTTACTCCTCCTCCTCTAAATGTGTAACTGACCACCTCTTCTTGTTCCAACCTTAGCCTCCCCCAAATTCTTTGAGCTTTTAGAGTTTAGTCCACCATCAGGAACTGGGAACAGAAGATAAATGAATACCAGTGAATCTCGCTCCAAATACATTTGTGACAAGCTGTTAAACACAGAGAGATCCTTAAGGATCGGTTGCTGCAGATCAAAATTGAAATCATCTATACTGTGGTATTCTCAATTACTATGTAAGATGAGTAAGCTGGATAATAAAGAAAGCTGACAGGGAAGATTTTTAAAATTAATTTGTAATGTGATGTTGAAGGGGAGCTTTAGGGATACCACAGGACAAATATGAGGATGCTAGACCAAATCAAGCCTGAACTATCTCTAGGAGCAAAAATAATTAAGGGGGAGGGAAGACCTATTCCAATTACAAAATCAGTAGGCACATTTTTTGCAGATTGAGTTACTTCATAAAAGATGAGAATAATGGGTCTGATACATATATACCAACATGCCCTGGTTCTTTTGATTACACAGAAGTCTGGACAGTAAAGAGAGAAATGCAGATAATAATTCAGGAAAAGGACCCCAGCAGAAACAGAAGCAGAAGCTAGTTGACAAGAGATCTAATGACTCTGTGGTAAGAAGGTGATAAGGGGGGGGGAAGACAGGAAGATGCTAAGATGCAAAATGGAGGTAGAGAACAGGGCTTAACGGGGATAAAGAAACAGTCTGATGCTGAGAAGATCAATACAGATAAATCTGCATTGACAGACAAGTAGGACCTAGAAAATAAATACTGTACATTTTCGGTTGAGTAACTGAATTTTAAATTAAATGTGGAAAAAAGTGAAGAGGCACCAACAGACGAAACATCTGATATCTGATTTCCAAACCATGTTGGTATTGTGGTGGAACTGAATTATCACCCTCCTGTCATAGCTAGGTGGCTGCGTCCCATTGGGCAAAAATGTAAAGGAAGGCTCACAAAGACAGGCAAGCACCCTTGTATAGAATCAGCTGTAATTACTGTCAGGGAACTGTTAAAATAATCCTTATTTCAGCCAAGCTTCTGTATTTGTGTTTAATTAAGAGTATGCTTTATTTAATTATTATTGGTCCATAAATGTCTCTTTCTGAAACATGAGGATTATCAAACTGTGATAATGTTTTGTGGTTCTAATATGCAATGAAGCAAAGGCCTGCATGTGGCCCAAAGAATCATTTGTTCCTAAGTATCTGTTGTATTATTTAAATGGCTGTAAAAACTGTAGTCACATCCCAGCTGTGCTTCACAGTATCCTGATGGCCCTGTGTGTTCTCCAACATTTCTTCTCTAGCTTACAGACAGGCATGGCAGTACAGTACGTTTCTTTATGCAGTGGTTTCTTTGTATGCAAAAAACAGCAAAAACTAAAAAAACAACCAACAGATTACTTCTGTATGTGGTAAAAATTAAGTTGTGTCACCTGCATTTCCCTTGGTATGCTTCCAGATGAGGCTTTTATTTTGCAGCCATCCTACTACATTCGCATAATTTTACATACATCTATATGATCACCCTTCTGTATTTCCCATTAGCAATGAGACTTTTAGGTTAATACAAATGGAGAAAACTACAAAATATGCTCTCGCTTTTGTTTCCACTTTTTGTTTCACAGCCTGTGAAAACCAAATGTTTTCTTTTAACAAAAAAAGAGGATATTTTTTGTTTCCTTTTCAAATTTACCCTTTCTTCACTTCTTGTCTATCAAATAACCCAGGAAGGTTTAATCCAATAGAGCAATGAGGACTGCTGTTAGCAGCCGACCAGAACATGCAGGAGTAGGGGACAGAGAATTTGGAGTTGTGCAAGAACTTGGATTGGTTGAAACCCAGTAAATAATGTTTTTTAAGTCACTCCTTCTCATGGGTGGGATCTATGTGTTGCTGGGCTCCATGGTGCCCTCCATCTTGATTGTGCTCTCTGTCTGGGCCTGTGGATCCCCTTTGCTTTTTGGGCTGTTATTTTTTTACAAAACATGCCCATTTTTTAATATTGTGTTTGCTGCTGCCACCCGTCACCTTGGGATTATTTTATTGACCCCCCCTCCCAATTTCTTGGATATTCCCCTCTCCATCACCTTTCCTTTCCTAGATCTTTTATTTCTGCCTGCTGCCGCTTGCTGGTGGTAGACTCAAGAAAAGAAGACATCGCTGGTATTTCCCCTTTTTTCTCTTGTGCATGTGTGTCTGGGGTCCCTGTTAGTGATTTTTAAAAACCGTGTGTGGGACAGGCAAGGATTCCCCTGACTGCAAAAGTGAGCTCTCCACCTCCATGACAGTAAGGATGGGATTCCCAGTCCAAAGTTCACCTGTGAACTGGCGCATTAAAGCGTTTTAGCTCTGTTGGCCCTTCATTGGAGAAACGGAAATCTGAAAGAGCTGTTCCAGCAACTACTCTCTTTGTCATCATGGAAGGGGATGCAAAGGTCCACTCACACTGCTATTTGGTTAATTTACTTGCTGTGTTGTTATTTTTTAAACAGATTTTAAAGTCTATTTGGTTAATTTACTTGCTGTGTTGTTTTTTAAACAGATTTTAAAGCTTCTTTGGGATTTTGAATTGATTCTCTGTTGCTTGTCTCTCCCCCCTCCTTTTTTTTTTTTTTTGTACCTGAAGGGTTCTTGGGGTTTTTGGAAGAGTGAAGTAAATTTTTTTGAAAGAGCTAGTCCCTTGCATGATTAACAAAAGGAGCAGCACCCAGATGACTAAAACTGAACAAAGCACCCCTCCAAAAGAACCAGAAATAAATGAAACAAATAAATAATTAAATGTGAACATTTCCCCCATGCACACTTCTATTCCTTCCACCTTTCTTTCCTACAGCAAACTCATTTATGAAGGAATGACAGATTAGCTACACACACCAACATGGGCAGTTCTTCAACTAAAGACACTTGCTGAAGAACTCCCCATGTTGTTGTTGTTTTTATTTTTTACACTCAAGTCCTTGTGAATGCTCTCACTCTGATTCCACTTCATTAGTCTTGGCTTCACAGTCTATAGGATCCTAGGATTTGTAGTTTGATGACAGATTTGGAATATTTAATAGGACAACGCTAGTGGGCAGATGAAGCTTCCCATACTCCGGCATAAATTGTCCAATAAACAGAAGGCCATTAGTCTGCTGCCACCCTATTTCTTTTTGGTATGCAGATTTCTACAAAAAGTAAATCTTACACACTTTCACTTCAACAGCAGTTGCCATCCAGCCAAATTCCTCATAATGCAGTGTTTCATCAAATTGCCAGTTACAGGAGGTTAAAACATGTCAAAGTAAATTTACAGACCTGAGCAGTACAAGTGTCTTAATGAGCAGCCATAATAAACAGGTGTGTTCAAATGCTGAGTCATGGTGACTCAGGAGGGCTGGCTCTTGGATGATGCAATGTGTAATATGATTGGACACAGCCAGATGTACAAATGTATATATGTGGACTCTGTATAGATGATGTATTCTTCTTTTCCTGATGAGCATCATGCTGTTGGTTTGCACTTCTGTAAATACTCCTGTAAATACATGTCTGGTGCTGGAGAAGCTGCTTGTATGTGCGTGAGTCATTTTACCACCTGGACCTGAAGTCACTCTGCTAAATTTCCATGTACTTGCGCTAACAAAACACCTGCTTCTACTGTTGGGTAATTTTAAGGGGTTTTGTGCATATGTTGTATGGCAGGTATTTGAATTTCTGTGACTTCAAATGAAATATTGAGATTTCTTGGGGTAGAATTTTGCATGCAGTTCTTTTTGGCAAATTGTGGGGATTTCTTTCCTTTTTTTATCAGTGGGCAATTTGGACAATTAAGTCAGTTGTTAACAATACAGTAAATAAATATAGCAAGAGGAGAAGGTGTAACTGTACTGAAACTCATTATCAGACTCTAGGAATGCAATTGGTGTGGAAAAATCTATCAATGATTGATAAATGTCTCTGCTCTTCTTAAGCACCATCATCTCTAGCCCATGGAGCTGCATTATAATATCTAACATTCCTATTTAGGAACCTAGGAGCTTGACAAACAGCTCCTATTAAATGTGTTAGATTTTCTGTTCCAAAGGGCCAGTATAACATATTGTGATTACGAGGGGGGTGTGCTCTTCAGTGCTCATGTGTGCACTCCCACATGCTCAGAGGCACACCCAGAAGGGATCTTTGAACTGGAGAGCCACCAGAATAAAGCTGGGTGGCTGAAAAATACATACATTTTAAAAATGAAAAAAAAAATCTATTTTAAAAATGCCCAAGACCTAAAAGAGTATTTCTATATCCAGGGCCTCATCCGTTCTTCCTTGCTAAAAGTTTGACGCCCACAGACCTCTTCTTTGTTTTTCCTTGCATACGGACAGGGTTCACTTCCATTGACTTTAAAAAAGTATTTCCTGAGGTTTGCAGTGGTGACTTCTAAGAAGCCCTGGCAGTTGGCACAAAAAGCAGGATTTCTACCTAGTGCTGTCAACAGCTGCAAGGGACCTCAGGCACACGTTTCCTCGCCTGTGTGTTGCTTCCTATTGCGTGTCGAGGGTTGTTGTGAGCTTTGCACCGAGACGACAAAGGACCCGATCCAGCAACACCCCCCCCCTCCCCAGGCTGCTTGCAGCAAAGGTTCAAGCGAGCCGAAGCGCCCCCAGAATTGATACTTTCCCTTCAGCTCGGGCTCCTTTTCACTTGGCAGGACAAGGAAAAGGCCGTGTGGGAGAGGCCGGCTTCGTCTGGGAAGAGGGAAATACAGTAAACATCCTAACGCGCACCGGAAATCGCTGGTGCCTAACCAACCCTTCAGTTTGCCTAGCTCTATGGCTCCACAGCCGTCGGGCTGCAGAGAACAAAGAGAAAAGGTATCGCTCTAAGCGACCTCTCGCCGTGAAGCGCTCGCTTCGGGGTCTCGAATCGAAGCTGTTGGGCTGCAAGGGGGGGATCATCGCCCTTTGCTGCGGCGGCCAGTGAAGGAGGGAGCGGGAGCCTTGAGGTCAGTGTGCCGAGAAGCGAGATTCTTTCACTGCTCGGCGAAGCAGCAACGTCTGACGATCGACAGCTAAGAAAATTGGAAATCGCCCGGCCTTAACGTGCCATTCCCACGCAACACAGGCGATCAGGAAGGGCATTTATACGCCAGGCACGGGGTTTGATGGGGCTGCGGGGTGGTTGGGTTTGTAGATACAGTACCTCGGTATCTGTCGGACCCTACCCTTTTCTTTTTTTTCTTTTTGCATTTGCAAACCTGGGCGCGTGATGATGAGGTCATTGCAGGATATCGCATTTCTGAGAAACATTGAAGTAAAAAAAAAAAGCACAACGTGGTCGTGTGTCTGTAGGGAAAAAAAGACACTCTTTCCTGAAACAAACCGCAGCTGAAGATGATTTCAGCAAAAGGGTCTGGTTTATAACTAGAGAATTACACTGTTTTATCACTAAATCAGAAGCTTCCGCAAATTCTTTGAGAACAAATCAAGTTTTTGCAATAGCAGCCCCTAGTTTCTACGAAAAGGCAGAGGCAACGTAGGCCACAAGAGTGTTCCGCAACCTTAAGAAATCTATCGTGCTATAAACATTTATAGTTGCACTGCTTTAAGTCTACAGTAAACTAACATTGCCAAGTCCCTGGAAACAGTACTATAAATATACCTCGGTGGCACTGTACTGTAACTGTATTATAGATACAGTATATCTCAGCCCTGTGTCAACCATTTGCCACAGTAAGTTTTCTTAAGAACATTTGATTAGAAAATTGAAGATCGTAGACATACAGGCTTGAAAAGAGCTCCAGAGGTCTTCAGGTCATTTTACCAGTTATTAGCAGTTTTACTGTTAAACAATTCAATTTGCCATGTGGTCCCACTCTCGTCTGAAGAAGTGGAGTTTTCCACAGAAGCTCACATTAAAATACAGTCAGTTAATTTTTAATGTTTTTGTCTTCTTTTTTTTTATTATTATTATTTTGGTTTGCCTGATATGCCAGCACAGGCCAATGTGGCTACCTGTTTTAAAATTCAGTTATGTGGTTAACTTAGATATAAGACCTACTGGCTGAAATCATCATCAGTTGTGATAGCTTTGCAGAAATCAAAAATTTCTAATTTCCTCTCTGAAGGTCCCAGGGATTGCTTCCATGGGATCGCTTTTGTAGTGGGTTGAAGGACAGCGGGAGGAGTTTCTAATTTTTGAAAACATCTCTTGCAAGGATGATGTTACCACTGGTGGTGATTTTTGGAAATTGAGTAATTCTTTCCTCCCGTCATTATTAACCATACACGTGGGGAAAATTACTTTTGGGGATGACAGCTTTTGGAATCTTCTAGTCAGGTTTGCCAATTACTGCTAGAGGATTGAAAATGATCAATCTACATCCCAATCCCAAAGAAGGGCAGTGCCAAAGACTGCTCCAAGTCCCGTACAGTTAACAACAAGACCAGTAGAGGTGATGGCATTCCAGTTGAACTATTTAAAATCTTAAAAGATGACGCTGTTAAGGTGCTACACTCAATATACCAGTAAGTTTGGAAAACTCCACAGTGGCCAGAGGATTGGAAAAGATCAGTCTGCATTCCAATCCCAAAGAAGCTTAGTGCCAACGAATGCTCCAACTACCATACAATCGCACTCATTTCACACACTAGCAAGGTTATGCTCAAAATCCTCCAAGGCAGATTTCAGCAGTATGTGGACCAAGAACTCCGAGAAGTACAAGCTGGATTTCGAATGGGCAGAGGAACTAGAGACCAAATTGCTAACATGCGCTGGATTATGGAGAAAGCCAAAGAGTTCCAGAAAAAGATCTACTTCTGCTTCATTGACTACGCAAAAGCCTTGGACTGTGTGGACCACAGCAAATTATGACAAGTTCTTAAAGAAATGGTAGTGCTTGACCACCTTATCTATCTCCTAAGAAATCTATATGTGGGACAGGAAGCAATAGTTAGAACTGGATATGGAGCAAGTGATTGGTTCAAAATTGGGAAAGGAGTATGACAAGGCTGTATACTGTCCCCCTGCTTATTTGAATTATATGGAGAATACATCATGCGAAAGACAGAACCGGATGAATCCCAAACTGGAATTAAGATTGTCGGAAGAAATATCAAGAAACTCAGATATGCAGATGATACCACTCTGATGGCAGAAAGTGAGCACGATTTAAAGAACCTCTTAAAAAGGGTGAAAGTGGAGAGCATCAAAAATGGTCTGAAGCTCAGCATCAAAAAAACCCTAAGATCATGGCAACTGGTCACATCACCTCCTGGCAAATAGAAGGGGAAGATATGGAGGCAGTGACTGATTTTACCTTCTTGGGTTCCATGATCATTGCAGATGGTGACAGCAGCCACAACATTAAAAGACTCCTGCTTCTTGGGAGGAAAACGATAACAAACCTCAATAGCATCTTAAAAAGCAGAGACATCACTTTCCGACTGTGAATACGTGTTGGTTCTGCCATGGGCGGTTCCAATGACAGTGCGGGAAAAAGGACAGGAGGCTCTTCTTCTTTTCTAACTGAATCAGATTTATTAGTAAACAAACTCAACTCGGATGGCTCGAATGGGTCGGCCACAGAGACTGGCGAAACGTTAGGAAGAACAAGCTTCAGAACACAGCCAAAGAGCCCGAAAAACCCACAACAACCATTAGATCCCGGCCGTGAAAGCCTTCGCAAATACAGAATATTGGAGTGTTGATCTAAAGCAGCTGATAGGCCAAGGGTCCAGAACTCTGCCTTAGATAGAAAATACAGTGGTGCCCCGCATAGTGACGATAATTCGTTCCGGAAAAATCGTCTCTATACGGATTCGTCGCTATGCGGGGAAAAAAGGCCATAGGAATGCATTAAAACCCGTTTAATGCGTTCCTATGGACAAAAAACTCACCATTATGCGAAAATCCTCCATACGGCCGCCATTTTCGCTGCCCGGTAAGTGAGGAATGGGCGTGAAAACACAGCGGTCGGTCTTTTTTTTAACCCAGCGGCCATTTTGGAAACGCCGATTAGCTGTTCTAAAAACATCGGTATGCAAAAATTGGTAAGCGAAACTGCTTACCGATCATTGCAAAGCGATGTTTTACAATTAAAAACATCACAATGTGATCGCTTTTGCGATTGCAAAAACGTAATCGCTATGCGGATTCGTTGTTAAAAGAGGCGCCCATTAAGCGAGGCACCACTGTATATGCATATAAGGATATTTGTCAAAAGAACATCTGCTACCTTCAGAGTTAATATGTTGCACTGTCAAACAAGCATTCCTAGAGTTCTTTCTAGCTGTAATCTCCTTTCCTGCAATTTGTAAAAAGAATGTTTTGCCACACATATGGTGTTAAGGTGTCATATTGCATGTGTCGTGGTTTAGACGTGTTTGTGTGTTATATTAAAAGCAAAAAGATTGCTGCTTATATACCGCCCCATAGTGCTTCAAGCCCTCTCTGGGCAGTTTACAAGTTAATTATGCAGGCTACACATCCCCCCCCCCAGTGAACTGGGTACTCATTTTACCGACCTCGGAAGGATAGAAGGCTGAGTCAATCTTGAGCCGGCTACCTGGGATTGAACCCCAGGTCATGAGCACAGTTTTGGCTGCAGTACAGTGGTTTAACCACTGCACCACGAGGCTCTTTAAGAGGGCACTGCACGATCAGATGTAAGATTGCTACCAAAAATGGTTTTCATTATAGCTCACTGCCGAGTGGGTGTGCCAAGGATGAAACTAGATGTGCCATTAAATGAATTTAATGTAGTGTTTTTTTCTCACTAACAGTCATGATCAGAATTTGGAGCATAGAATAGGGCTATTAATACCTGTTGCTATTGGAAGTTTCTCTTCCAGGGTGAACAGCAGGTTAGAGGGGGTAGTTTTCATTTCTTCTATAACGATATGAAGGATTACTCCCTGACCTGCCACCATGACCATGATCTTAATTCTGATTAACTACTTTGCTTTGGAACTGTTATGTAGGATAAATGGCTACAGTCATGTGAAAAAGAAAGTACACCCTCTTTGAATGTCATGATTTATTTTACAGAAATACTGTAAAGCCAAAATGGAGAAGCCATATGTGAAAAACTATGTATACACCCTTACTGCTTCCATAGAAATTAAGAGACTAAGTAGCAGCCAGGTGCTGCTAACCAAATGCCCTTGATTGGTCATCAGCAAGTGTGACAACCACTATAAAAGCTGAAGATTTAGCAGTTTGCTGGTTCAGAGCATTCAGGTGTGTTTTAACACAATGCAAAGGAGGAAAAACATCAACAACGATCATCAAGAAACAATTGTTGCTGCCCATCACTCTGGGAAGGGTTATAAGGCCATTTCCAAACCATTTAAAGTCCATCATTCTAGAGTGAGGAAGATTAATCACAAGTGGGAAACATTCAAGATAGTTGCCAATCTTCCCAGAAGTGGACATCCAAGCAAATCACCCCGTTCAGACCATGCAATGCTCAGAGAAATTACAAAAAAACCAAGAGTTACATCTCAGACTCTACAGGCCTCTGTTACCATGTGTGAGACGCGAGGTGAGAGGGTAGAGGTTCTCACCAGACTGTCATCCTCCCTCAAAAAGGAACAAGAGGTGCAGACAGAGCTGCCTACACCACCCCTCGAGACTAAACAATGGGGAGTTGATACCCAGGAATTACAGCGGGAACTGTCAAAGATGACAGTGTCTCACTCAGACAGGGAGTGAGTTGGCGGGAAGAGGAGAAAGAGGGAGGTCCGTCTTGGAGGCATGAATGGGAGCTATAAAAGCGGAGGTGGACATAATACCAGGAGGTTGGGAAATGATATGGGTAGAGGACTCATGGACTGGAAAATGGGAGAAGGTACAGGTCCTTAGGGAAGAAGATGATTACAGGCGGAGAAGAGGACTGCCACAGCGTCCTTCCTACTGGGGTGAGTCGGAAGCCAGAGAGTGGCACAAGTGGCTCAGGGAAGAGAAGGAGGCGGTAGAAAGGGACGAAAAATATTGTCGGTTATG